CTCTTCGGGCGCGTCAGACCGTCCCGTTGGGTCGTGTTGCCGCTGGTGAAGGTGTGGGCCACGTGCGGCCACGCGCAGAGGGGGGTATGGGGTGGGCACGGCTTCTTACTAGAAGCGCCGGCCCCAGAAGCAGGGGGTGTTTCTAAGAAGCCTTTCCCCCTACCCCTGCCCGCCCCTGTACGCGCCGCCAACACGTCACATTCGCAGGTCACCACTTTGGCTGGGGCCACCACGAGGGCGCGAAGTTGGTTGCGCTTCGCGGTGTGGGCGAGTCCAGTGCGAGGCGCGTGCCCCTCATCCTGCTCCTCGGGGGGGGGGGGACGGCGCGCAAGCACGAAAAGCACCGCGCATCGCGTCGCGCGAAGTGCGAAGATGGCTGCCTGGGGGTCGCATGTCACCACCTGGGCCACGTTCGCTGGTCACCACCTTTACCCGGCTGATCGTTTGGTTTATGCGGTTTGTTCTGCGGCTTTGCATCTGCCTTACCCTACCGTCATCGGATAGGGCGGCCGATCCAAAATAAATCGCGTGGTCCTGCGACAGGTTATGCTCATGAAGTGCGTATTCCCGCTTCTTTCCTTCGAGGAGTTCAAGGATTTACAGAGAAGAAGCCGGCAGCCTGGGCCAGGCTAGCTGGACTGCCACGGCTGCCGGACAGGCAGCGCCGCAGCAGGTTGCCGGAAATCAACGCGTGTCCCGCAAGTTGTTTTCTGCTCGTTCCAAGGTCGCGGGCCGCAAGCATCTGCGCAGCTGCGTCACATGCCGGTTCCCACGCCGTTTTTTCTGGTTCCAGTTCCGGTTCCAATATTGGGACTTTTTTTGCAGGTTCCAATCGTTGTTGTTTACCGTCTCCATTTTGAAGTTCACGATGCTCCAACTTACTTTAGCCTTAGGAAAGAACCTCGAGCACCCAGAAAGTACCGAAACTTGAGGGTTCTCACGTGTCGGGCCCTGGGAGGCGATACCCTTTCGACACTGCTTCGATGTTTCTCTGGATGTTCGGAAGTATTTCTGGGATGTGGTCCTTGAGTACGATGGGGGCAACAGACAGCTGATGAGAGAGTTTGTCGGAAACGATGCAGAAGCGGCCTTGTCGTGTCCGGGGCCCACTCATTTTGTGGAGGACGATCAACGGAGACGAAGCATGCTGCCAAATCATTTCCAGGTGTCTACCACATGTGTGAACCATGTTTTAATAGGCATGCAAGCAACATGTCTGAATCATGTTTCGAACACGCGTCCGACATTTTCACACACATGTTTAGCGCAATGAGAGGACTGTTGGGGTGCCCAGTGTCGTGGCATCCACAACACTGACCATCCAGGCCCGTGCGCAGCGCCTGCCGTGCTGCCTCGGCCCCGCGCGCAGCCCCCGGGGGGGCCACTCCCGAGAAGTCGCCTCCTCCGCTGCCGCCCGCGCGCGCCCCGCGCGCCCCGCCTGCCCGTCCCCCGCGCGCGGGCGACCCGGGTGTTGGACGACCTATGTGTTTCCTCCTCCTCCTCCTCCTCCTCCCACTCGCCTCCTCTTCCTCGTCTCTTCCTCCTCCTCCTCCTCCTCCTCCTCCTCCTCCTCCTCCTCCTCATCATCATCATCATCATCATCGTCATCTTCCTCCTCTGCCTCCATAAAAAAATCTTCCTCTGCCTCCTCCTCGTCTCTTCCTCTTCTCCTCCTCCGCTTCATCTTCCTCCTCCTCCTCCTCTTCTTCATCCTCCTCCTCTTGTCTTCCCCGTCCTCATTCTCCTCTTCCTCCTCCTCCTGGCCCAAGGCGTGACCAGGACTCCCAAGGAGGCCCCCCACGGCCTCCAGAGCACACTTTCCGAATCCCAGAGGGCCCCAGGGGCCCCAGAATGGAACGAAGCCAGAGTTAAGCATTGGCCCCTGTAGCCAGGACACCTTGCATCCTTCGCCTCCGGGCATCCTTCGCACGCGTGGGCGCGCGCCTCCTTGCCCTTCGCGCCGCTCCGAGGGCCTTGCATCCTCAAACTCTCGAGCTGTCCATCCTTTGCGATGCTTTTGACAGCGCGTGGCCCGGAGTCCTCGGCCCTCGAGCCGAGGTGCCTCTTCCGCTGCGCCGACGCCGGCGTGCTCCGGCAGCAGCTCCGCTTCGACGAGGCGGCCTCCGCCGCGCCGCCGCCCGCCGGGGGCGCGCCTCATAGAGCGCGTTCTGCTGCTCGCAGAGTGTCTGCTCGCAAACGTCCGAACAAAGATCATGATGCAATGGGTCGTACCCTGACCTTCCAGAGTGCTAAAAAATAGCACTCCAGACCTCTAGATCTATCTGGACTGCCTCAAACCTCGACAGGAATTAGGACGTCGACGTCCTATCTGTGGAACTGTGGCCACTTTCGAGGCCTGCTGCGGAGCCCAGCGGAGGTACGTCTTACGGGGGATTCAGATTAGACCTCGCCATCCCTGGGGGGCTGCTTCAGCGCCTTGCTGGAGAAAACGTGGTCTTCTTTCTCGCCTCACCTCTCTCGTCGTGGTCCTCTTCCCCTTGTAACCTTCTCTCTGCTGCTGCGGCTTCCCCTGACCATCGTCCTCACCCCCGTCCTTCTTCGAGCGTAGACCCTACAATCTCGTCCATCTGATCGTTACCCTCTGGGTCGTGCATTATATGCGCACCCCATCTAGCGCGCACATACACACATCGCGCTCGCACTGTCGTTCTTCACGACGATACTCGCCGATTCATCGGGCCACTTGATGCAAATGGGTTGGGTACGTCGCAGGATAATTTGTCCCCCCTCAGGCGTCCAGCGTTTTGAGAAATAAAGACGGTTGGTTTTCTGGGGGTCCCATGTGGTGCCCGGCTTCTGTCAGCCGAAAAGATTCGCGACGCGGAAGAAGAATGTCTTACCGAAAACAGCGTCAGAAGCACGTCAGAAAAGGCAAATGTCCGAAAGTTGGACCGAGCATGAGAATCGCATGTGTTTCGACTCAGCAATTTCAGTCACACTCGGGGCGCATTCCGAGGAGCATGAGCGCCGTTGTTGGTCACGCCCGGGCACACGTTTCGGGCACAGCGTCGGTGACTACCCCCCCCCCGACAGAGGCGAGGCTGCAGGAGGCTTACAGTGGAGACCCATGCCCAGAAACACCCTGCTTGCCTCCAGGGCACCCTGGGTTTCTTGGTATTCGATGGTTTTGCCATGGGGAGCGCGTTGGCGCTCCCACACCCAGAATCAGTGGACGTCCTGGGGTCTCAGGGTTGGGCTTCTTGCGTCAGAGCGTGAATTACCTACCCCGCTTTCGCTTCCAGGCAAAACCAAGCCATACCACGCGCCTCCTCGTCAAGCGGCCTGACCAGTACAGGCTGCAATTTGGCATCGTTTGGTGTCTCTTGGAAGCGAGGGTGGTCAAAAGCGAGGTAGGTTTGTTTCCCCCTTATTGTGGAAGGTTTCTCGTGGTCGAGCCCCTGCTCTAGGATGCCGCCCCATCCTCGCCCCGCGCCCACCTCTGCCGAGTCCTCTGGAGCGCTCCGGAGCGTCCCCGGCGTGCTCGGGGGCCGCACGGGCGCCGGCCGCTGCGCCTGGCTGGCCCGCCGGCCCCCAGAGACCTCGGAGGTGGGCAGGCAGTGACACGTCGTCCTCCTCCTCCTCCTCCTCCTCTCCTCCTCCTCCTCCTCCTCCTCCTCCTCCCTCTGCTTCCTCCTCTCTCCTCCTCCTCCTCCTCCTCCTCCTCCTCCTCCTCCTCCTCCTCCTCCTCCTCCTCCCCCTCCTCCAACCTGTGGTGGCGGTGGTGGAAAACAGGCCCATCAAAGCCTGAGCGGATCACCACCACCCACCAAGCCACCCCAACCCAGTGCGAAGGCGCCAATGTGCCTTCCGTTTCCATCGGGGGTGGACAGAGCCCCCAACAGTGACACGTCGATTGGTGAATTGTCCGTTTTCGGCTCTCGAGAGGGCGCCGTGGCCGTCATTTTCCAGGCTTGCGCCCGCCAGGTTTGGGCCTCGGGTCGTGTTCACGAAACCATGTTTGACTAAAGGGGGGTCTGTCCATCCCCGAAGACCTCGAGCCGCCCTGAACGGTCACCCACTGTTGGTAGTGCCATGCGCTCGCCCTACAGGTGGGGGCGCGCATCAAGAAACCATGTGCTTTTTTCGTCGGGGTATCCTGGGTTTCTTCGCACCTCGCGCTGCGCGGTGACTTCCCGCAGCCTTTGAAGGAGCTGCTGCGTTCAGGGTGCTGGGTGCTCCAGGTTTCCCCTCAGGTGCACCGCGCGCACGGGTTCCTAGGGCTGCGTTTCTTGCGAGGGTTTCTTGCGGCCGCGCCCGCACTGTACAGAATCCATTCCGATCCGACCGTGCCGATTCGATGTCGGTGTTGGCCAGCTCGATCCGATTCGATCGCGATGGCTGGCTTGATCGGATTCGATCGCGATGTCTCGACGATGCGGTGCGGCCAGATGTCTGCATGGCGCCAATTTCGCATCCTGGTGCAGCCGATCCGATTTGATTCCGGGTCCGTGCCGAAAAGCCCGATCCGACGAATATTTCGATCCGATCCGATTTCCCGATTCGATGCTGACTGAGGCGTTGGAACGAGGGACGTACAGCTCTGGTGTCGGGGATGCTCAGATTCTCGGAGGCGTTGGCCAGTTGTGACAAAGGCGGCTACCCCGCCCAGTCCACATCCTCTCAAAGTCGGGCTCCGAACGACGACGACGACGACGAGAGGCGGATGCAGCCACGGCGAGGAGGAGGGTCCAGGGGGCTCCACGAGGACGGAGGTTCAAGCAGTGGCGAAGCGTCCTGGCTCGCCTATAGCCCTACCAAACAATGTTCTAAGAACCTTTTGTGGATTCCACGAAATGTTCTCAGAACATTTCTGGCGGAGTCTGTCCTGCTTTAACACATCAGGCTTATTTTCCAAGAACATTGTTTCTGTTCTAGAGCATTTTGGGGTTCTAGGAACGTTTCGTGGTAGGACTATAGGAATGCCGGGACGGTCGCTCCCTGCTCAATCCACGAGGACGAGGAGGCTCCCCACGAGGACGAGGACGCCGGGGAGGGCCGCCGTGGTCTCCATGTGGCCCTTCTCGGCCATTGCAGCCCCGAAAGTCCGGGGTCCGGCGGGCGGCCCAGCCGCCCGCGCAGCACCCGGCCAGAAGAAGAGGAGGAGGGGAAAGAGGAAGAGGAGGAGGAGGAGGAGGAAGAAACGAGGAGGAGGAGAAGGAGGAGGAGGACGGGGAGGAGGAGGAGGAGGAGGAGGAGGAGGAGGAGGAGGGAGGAGGAAGAGGAAACGAAGGAGAGGAGGAGGAGGAGGCGGAGGAGGGCGGGGGAGGAGGAGGACGAAGAAACGAGGAGGAGGAGGAGGAGGAGGACGGGGAGGAGGACGGGGAGGAGGAGGAGGAGGACGGGGAGGAGGACGGGGAGGAGGAGGAGGAGGAGGCGCGGGAGCAGGAGGAGGAGGAGGAGGAGGAGGACGAGGAGTTGCGGGAGGAAGAGGAGGAGGCGGAGGGCGAAGGAGGAGGAGGAGGACGCCGACGGAGGAGGAGGACTGCGGGCCTCGCGCGCTGGGCAGGCCGCGGCGAAGAACCGACCGGTCTCCAAGGTCATCACGCTGCTGAAGGAGCTTTCCTTTTGGGCGACCCGCCGGGCGCGGCCTCCCGGCGTCGTCGGGAAGAGGGCACCCTGAAATGACGGGCCTGCTTTCCACCACCACCACCACCACCATAAGTTGGAGGGGGAGGGGGTCTTCCTCCTCCTTCTCCTCCTCTTCCTCCTCCTCCTCCTCCTCCTCCTCCTCCTCCTCCTCCTCCTCCCCCTCCTCCTCCTCCTCCTGATCCTCCTCTTCGTCCTCCTCCTCCTCGTCCTCCCCCTTCCCCCTCCAACGTATGGTGGTGGTGGGGGTGGCCTCCCAGCGTCTCGAGAAGAGGGCACCCTGAATTTCTGTTTGCTCCCCATCGTACTTGAGGTCCACATCCCAGAAACAAGTTCGAGCACACGGCAAAGTGTCGAAAGAGTGTCGAAACAATGTCGGACGAGTGTCTCCCAGGGCTCGACGCGTGAAAACCCTAGAGTTTCGGGATTTGTCAGGTGTTAAGTTTTTTTCTGGTGATCAAGGCTAAAGTACGCAGGTTGGAACAGCATAACCCAGGACGCGGTACAAAGATGGGAGGCATCAGAGAGTGACCGTCATCGAGGACAAAAGAGCCCCCAGCCCGAATAATTAACACGATGAAGACACAGCCTCGATGATGTCCGCGTCTTTGCATTAGAGATAACTCATCTGGGTGGTTTGGTTCGATGCATCCGCAGAACAAGATTCCCTATACCTAACTCATGTTCCTGGCCCTCCTGAGTCGGGTCGCCTCCCAAAGGGTTAGAGGTCCTATCATGCCTAATCAACCGATCTCTGGGGCCCGCGACCCTCACCGGGCGATTGAAGATATGAAAGGCGCTTGCGGCGAGTCACCGCCCCTCCCCTGCCGTTTAGGATACGCCTATGTGGCCACACGATTGGGCACATATTGGCCATTGGACCATGCATTCCCCAAGCCGTTGTGGAAGCCCTTCGGGGAACACGAGGGGGAGGAAGGAGGATGCTGAGAGGGAGGACAAATGAGGATGAGAAGAAGGATGATGAGACATCTTGGGAGCCTCTGGGGCCACCCTTGGGGCCTCCTGGGAGCTTCCTGGGGGCCTCTCGGGGCCTCTTTGGGGCCTTTGGTGGTGCTCCTTGGAGGCCTCTTTGGCCGTCTTACGGCGTACCTAGCCAGGGGGAGTTCTAAAATAACCAAAAACCTCCTGAAGTCTGGCACGGTAGGCACCTTTGTGGCAAGCCAACAGGGGGTGGCGGATTTGATTGTTTTCGGCCTATCCCGCAATCGTGCCTGGGTCGTGGGTCACAGTTCTCAGGGATGCTTTTTCGGGTCTCTTCGGAGCGCTCTCGGGGCCCTCCTGGGACCAGTTTGGGGGGCTCTTGGGAGCCTCTTGGGGGCCTCTTCGGAGCCTCTTGGGGTCTCTTGAGAAGATGGGGGCCTATTGGGGCCTCTTGAGCGCCTCTTGAGGGGCCTCATGGGGACCCCTCGGAGCAGAGGGCTTGAAATGTTCGTTCGGGTTCCCCATCTGGGTCCCCACTTGGGGCCATCTTTGGGCCCTCTTGTGCCGTCTTGGGCGCCTCTTGGGCCGTCTTGGGGCCCTCTTGGGCAGTCTTGGGGCCCTCTTGGGCGCCTCTGGGGGGGCCGTCTTTGGGGGATCTTGAGGGCTCAGTGGTCCGCCGTGGAGCGTCGGGAAGCCGAAACGGCGCGAACGCCAAAAGATGTCACTGAACACCTGAGGAGAATCACTGATCAGGGCTGGACCTAAACGGTGTTTTTGGCGATCTCGTGGGCCGTTTTCGTTTCGACTTCGTTTTGCGGGAAAGGCGGATTCGAGACATCAGCGAGGGAAAGCGAAAACAAAACGTATCCGCAAAGCACAGCTTAGGTTCAGCCCTGTCACTGATTGAATCCTCTTGGGGCCCTCTCGGGGGGCCTCATCGAGGCCTCGTTG